GTCTGTGGTGTTGGGAATTACTCCATGGCATTGGAAATGAGCCCATGGCATTGGGAATGACTCCATAGAGCTGGAATTGACTCCATGGCACTGGAACTGATCCCAGTCCTTGGCATTGGGAATGATTCCGTGGAGTTGGGAATGATCCCATGGTGTTGGGAATGATCCCATGGTGCTGGGAATGATCCCATGGCATTGAGAATGATCCCATGGCACTGGGAATGACTCCATGGCGCTGGGAATACCTCCATGGCATTGGGGTGCAGGTTTGTGGCTGGGGTCACTTGATCTGGAGGAGATGAGTTGCTTTGAAAATCCCAACTCTGAAAAATTCAGCTACAAAAAAATTGAGCTCCACCTTGGTTGGGTTGGGTTGGGTTGGGTTGGGTTGGGTTGGGTTGGGTTGGTTGTGAGGGGTGGGAAGGTGGAGTTGCTGCTTGCAAGCTTGTGGGAGTTTTTTGGGATGGATCCTGGAATGCTGAGGGAAGTCCTTCCTGTTGAGGGCTTTGAATCCCAGGATGGTTTGGGTTGGAAGGGACCTTAAAAATCATCCCATCCCATTCCTGTCTGAGCAGGGACACCTTCCACTCTCCCAGGTTGCTCCAAGCCCTGCCCAACCTGACCTTGGACACTGGCAGGGATGAGGAGTCCACACCTCTCTGGGAATTCGTATTTAGGGTTTGAAGAGAAACCCCCAAAGCTGCATCCTGCAGGGTCGAGCCCTCGGTGAAGGGAGGTGCAGGAGTTACATCATCAAATAATCCCAGGATGGTTTGGGTGGTAAGAGACCTTAAATCCCATCCCATTCCACCCTTGCCATGGGCAGGGACACCTCCCGCTGTCCCAGGTCTCCTAAAAGTCTTCTGGACTGCCTGATGACAGCCTCAGTCCACAAACGTGGGATCTGGAGCTGGAAAGGTGCCTTTGCTTGTCCTACCAGCCAGTCTGGATAGAGGATTCCCATCAGGAGCTGGGAATTCTGCCCTGATGCAGTGGTGGGGATGCTCCTGGTCTCCCAGGCTGCTGTGGATGAGGCAAGTTGCTGTGCTTGGAGAGAACTTCACCTCCACGATCCCAACACTTTGTGTTTGAGTCCTAAAAGCAGCATCAGCTGTGACCAGGCCTTGGCTCTCCTGCCTCTTTTTATGCTCCCATGGAGCAGAGCGAGCCAGGATTGATGGTCCTGGATAACAGAGGCAATTCCACAGGATAACCCCAAACTGGCCTCACTTTCCTGGAAACCACACCAAAAGGTGGGGGGATTTTGGATCGGATTTGTCGTCCCCTGAGGGGTTTGGGCCTCCTCCAGCCCCGATTCCGTGGATTTTCTGAGGGCGCCGCGGGTGTGACCCGGCCTTTGATGTGGGGCCTCTTCCCTCTGTGGGGAACAGAGCCCCCAAACCCCCCAGTGCTCCTCTGCAGGTCGGGTTTGATCCTTTCAGCAAATCCATGGAAGGGTTGTTCTGCTGCACCCCGGCCCGGGGAGGTGCTGGGAATGAGCTGGGGAGTTCCTCAGGATAATCCCAAATTTCTCCAGAGCTGCTTCCTCTGGGCCTCCCCCCAGCCCTGCCTTTCCCTCACGCTGAAACCCAAACCTCGCTGACTTCACCAAGCTGAAGAAAACTCGATATTTCTCACTTCTAGGTCACCTCAGTCCAGATCGTTTCCTGCCGGGAGCGGGGGGTTGGGAATGCCCTCGTGGAGATGAAAAAGCCATTCCCGTTCCTCCTGGGGCCTGCAGGGCCTGGCTCCAGGATCACTCCTCCATGCTGGGGCGCTCCCGTCCCTGCTGCAGTGGGAACGTGCCCATCGCAGCTCGGGATTTGGCTCTGGTGTTCCCAGAAAGGGACCAACAAACCTCCACTGAGTGAACGTGAGGCTGTTCAGGCACAAATCCCTGGAAAATCTTGTCCAGTTTAAAACTCCCCCACAAAAATTCTGAAAGGTGAAGATTCCTCAAGGTCCAAGTTGCTCCTGGTGGGCTGGAAACCTTTTGTGCCTTCGGGAGCATTGTCTGGCTGGTTTTTAGGATATCTGGGAGTTGGGACATACAAATTTTTCCTTTTTTTTTCATTCAGAGAGTGGGCAGGCCCTGGCACAGGGTGCCCAGAGCAGCTGCAGCTGCCCCTGGATCCCTGGAAGTGTCCAAGGCCAGGTTGGACATTGGGGCTTGGAGTACCCTGGGATAGGGGAAGATGTCTCTGGGAGTGGAATGGGATGGGATTTATGGTCACTTCTAACCCAAACTGTTCCTGGGTTCTGTGATTTTCTCAGCTAGTTCTTGGACTTCAATCCAGGTCAAAACTCTTCTCTTGATAAATCAGTTTATTTGCATGAAAAGTGCAAAATCAAAGTTTGGGGGGTAAATTCCATGTGGGGCTCCTTGTCCTGGAGCGATGCCGGAGGGACAGATTTCCTTGATTTCTAAATAACTGGAATTTATGAGGTCTTATCAGCATTTGGGTTGGATCTTATAGATGTTGACACCTGGTCCTGATGTGCTCCCAAAACAGGGAAGATTAATCCCTGTTGGAAAACAGAGGTGGGACCAAGGTTGGTCATCCTCAGAGAGCACTTCCATGGATCCTTGGTGACACCAGTTCCATGTCCAGCCTGATATGCCGCGTGTTTCCCACCGAGGGCTGGGTCAGAGGAGTCCAGGGCTGGCAGCAGCATCCTCCAGCTCGTTATCCCAAATTTCCCTCTCCCATGACCGCCTGTGCGCTCCGGGCCCGCTCCGCCCTGATTAACGATCCGTGTCCAGCTCAGGGCTTCATCCAAAACTGCGCCTTTTCCCACTCTTTGATTCTCCCCTCTCCAGAAGGAGAAGGATTACATAAACTGGAGGGTTTAATGAGTGCACTGGGCTTGCTTTTGGGGGAATTTCCAGTGGATTCAGGGTTATAACTTCATTAGGCCTGGGTTGGGAAACTCATGGCAGCGCTGGGCGGGCCCGAGCCCCGACCCTTTGTTGTGTTCTCTTCTGAAGGACCAAGCGCTCCCGCCCCTTTTTGAAGTCCTAATTCCCTTTATGGGATGTTGCAAGGCCTTTCTATAGAGTGCTGCCTCTGAAGTCCGAAAATCCCGGTGCCAAAAATGCCCCTTTCCCCAACGGCTTCGCGTCCTGACGTCGGGAGCAAAACTTTGTCCTGGGCAGTGTCCACCCAGACCTTTCCCTCTGGGGCTTTGTTGCAAAAATTCCCATTGTTGGGATTCATCCCTGAAGAGATTTTTTTAAAGGGATGGGGTTGGGAGTCCCCTGGCTCAGCTGGGAGGAGCACTCGGAGTAAATAAATCCAGGGCTGCTCCTGCTTTCCAACCACTAGAGGTCAAGGTTGTGCTGTGGGATAATACATCCCACAAGGATTCACATCCCGATCCAAGGATTCGCTCCTGTTCCCGCTGCAGCCGCCTCCAGGGGCAGCTTTGTACACGGAATTTTGTCGTGGATTGCCCAGCTCGTTAATTAATTCAGGGCTGATTGTGTGTGCTCGGGGTGAGGAGCACTTTGAGGTGGATTTTCCAAGGAATGGGATGTCCATGCCTGGATTTCCCAAGGAATGGGGTCTTCATGCCATGCTTGGATTTCAGTATTCCTCAGATGCAGGAATTACTCCATTGCTCGGTCCCTGGTGGGGTTTTGCTTCCCAAGGGGAGATTCCAAAGGGATTTTGAGGATGGCAAAAATCAAAGCTGCTCCTGAATTATTTTGGGGGGGATGTTAAAATTTCCAAGTGTCGAAAAGGAAATAATTTGGGAGGTTTGCACATGGATAAAGCTTTGTGCTCTCTGCAGTTCAGGTAGCAAAAGTAATTAATAATTAGTGATTTTTAATAGTCATTAATAATGTTTTAATTCTCCCTTGGTGTTGCTGACAGCTTGATCTCCGACAGATTTGATGGTTTTCCTGCTTCCTTCTAAATCCAGGCTGCCACATTCCCATAGGGAAGGGGATGGGCCCCTTTTGCCACCTCAGAGAATCCTGGAATTCTAGAATGTCCAGGAGCTACCTGGGCTTGTGGAAAGTGGCCTTGCCCATGGAATGAGAGGATCCTGAATATCCTGTCCATGATTCCCACACACCTTTCTCCTGATACATAAAAAACCCACAGCATAATACGGGGAGGAATCCTCCAAATCTGTGTTTAAATCCCTATAAATTCCATGTTTTCCGAGTGTTTATTTTCCAGTTACACCAGCACTCAAACCCACGTGTCCAGCACCGCCACATCCATGGGATTGGCCTTTTTTCCCTGGTTTTGGCTGGGATTTGGCCCTGGAGACCCCTTGTGTGTTCGTGCTGTTCCCATTCCTTGCCCTTCGGTTTGAACTTGATCAGCTCCTTAACAAGTGGGGCTGAACCACTTTTCCTGTGGTTATTGTGCTCCGTATCAAAGGGAAAACAATGGAATTTTCGCAGGAGGGCACAGTGTGACCTCAGCTGCCAGACAACCCCAAAATCCCTGGAATAACTCCGCGTGTTCCCAGCCCTCCATCCCGCTGCTTCCAGCACGTTTTCCTTGAGCACCTTTTACAGCTCGTTCCGCACATCAACAATGTGCAATTAAACCCTCCTGGGCTCCCACAAAAATGCTTTCAGGAACCTCTGGGGTCCAGATGTGGAATGTTTTGTGCCGCCACGGCTGGAAAAGAGGAACAAATCCAGCGGTTCAGGAGGTCCCCGAGCGCGGCCTGTGACAGTCACCACATGGCCCGCGGGCGAATATTGCTGCAGCTGGGCCGTAAACGGATCAATGTGGCAGCACGGGGGCCGGGGCCTTGGGATTTGGAAAGAGTCAGGAGCGTGTTTGGGTTGTTGCATAATCCCTGGCCTGCTTTGCAAATGGATCTGGGAATATCTGGGTTGGGGAAAAGGCGACGTGTCGGAATTCCGCCGAGCGCGTGGCGCCTCCGGCCTCCTTTGTCCCCTTCCAGGGCTGGCTGCGCCTCGTGCCTGAAAACCAAATTAAATCCCAGGTGAAATCTGTGTTTTCTCCTAGGCACAGCAGCAGAGGAACCTGGACAACATCGTGTCCCAGCAGCCCAGGATTAGCGGGGGGAAGAAATCCAAGAAGGAGTTCAGTGCCAGCTCCGAGCTGGAGGTGAAGAACACCAGCCCCATGTCGGAGCAGGATTCTGGGATCCTGGATGTGGAGGATGAGGATGAGGAGGAAGAGGTAAACACCAAACCAGCAGTGTGGGGTGCCTGTGGTGTCTCAAGAGGTTTGCTCCTTGCTCATGGGGGAGTCCTGAAGGTGCAGAAGAGGCTGGAGAATGTAGGATGTGTCTCAAAATTTGGTTTTATTTTGGTTTTATCCCTATTCCCATTACTGGGCTCAGCAGAGAGGCCAAGGATTGGGAACTGCTCACCCCAGTCTGTCCCAGCAGCTTGGTGCTGCTGGAGAACATCCATCCCTCATGGAAACATTGCTCCATAACCCAATCTTTGCCTTTTCCTTTGTCCTGGTTTGTCTTTGGATAAGGGATTCTGTCAGGATGGGAGGTGGAAATTTGAATTCCTTGATGTGCTCCCTTCTTCCCTTTCCTTCCTGCTGCAGCTTCCTGGGACCTGACAGAGGGTTTTGGGTGTTATCCCACATAACCTGGGGATGATGTTGGTTTCTCCTTCCTCCCAGTGCTGGTTCACCTGGGATTTGGGATGTTTCCCATGGAATAGAGCCCAGTGGCTCAGGAAAGGCAGCTCAGAGATCCAGACCTGCAGTGCAGGGCCTGAGGGGTTGAGCCTTTGGATGTGTCCATCATTCCTTGGGATGCAGCCATGTTCTGGACCTTTTGGGAAGTTCTGTCTGCCCCTCTGGATGGTTTTTCTCATTTATTGAAGTCTCTTTTGTCAGGAAAATGATGTTTTCAGCTACAGCCAGTCCCTGGGCAGGGGGGTGTTTGTCACCCTGACTGTGACAGCCCCTGAGCAGCCAGGGAGGGGACCAAGGACAAGCTGGAAATTTGAAGTGGAGATTGTTCAAGTGGTTCTGGGCTTTCTGTTTCCTCCCTGCAAATCCATTCCATCCTTCCCATGGCTTCTGTGCATCCAGAGCAGAGTGAGGTCACACCTTCCTCCATGGGGATGGAATTGTGGGGTCAGCCCTGAGCAACCTGGCCCTGCTCTGGGACCCTCTGGGTGGGCTCCATTCCTACATCAGCACAGAATAACCCATTCCATGGTTCCATGGTTCTGGCCTATCTCAGGCAGGTGAATCCCATCTCTGGGTGTGGTGGCACTTTGGTGGCCTCACAGGAGGTGACCCTGCAGCTGGGGATGGGCAGGAGGGGCTGTCCCCATCCCAGTCCTGGTCCCAGGGCGGGCAGTGGCCGCTGTCCGTGGTGATGAAGAGCAGTGGGGGAGGGGCAGCAGCCATGGGACCCCCAGGTGCACCTGGCCAGGTGTCCTGGAGGAGATCCCCTGGGAGGGTGGGCAGGGGCTGGGCTGGAATTCCCAGAGCAGCTGTGGCTGCCCCTGGATCCCTGGCAGTGCCCAAGGCCAGGCTGGACACTGGGGCTGGGATCCACCTGGGACAGTGGGAGGTGTCCCTGGATTTGGATCCAAATGGGATTTAAGGTCCCTTCCCACTCAACCCATTCCATGGTTCCATGGTTCTGGCCTATCTCAGGCAGGTGAATCCCATCTCTGGGTGTGGTGGCACTTTGGTGGCCTCACAGGAGGTGACCCTGCAGCTGGGGATGGGCAGGAGGGGCTGTCCCCATCCCAGTCCTGGTCCCAGGGCGGGCAGTGGCCGCTGTCCGTGGTGATGAAGAGCAGTGGGGGAGGGGCAGCAGCCATGGGACCCCCAGGTGCACCTGGCCAGGTGTCCTGGAGGAGATCCCATGGAGGAGATCCCATGGAGGAGATGCCATGGAGGAGATCCCATGGAGGAGATGCCATGGAGGAGATCCCATGGAGGAGATGCCATGGAGGAGATCCCATGGAGGAGATGCCATGGAGGAGATCCCATGGAGGAGATGCCATGGAGGAGATCCCATGGAGGAGATGCCATGGAGGAGCCCCATGGAGGAGATCCCATGTGGGAGAGAAAAGCGAGCAGTTTGTTCCTGATCAGCTTTGAGTTCCCTGTGTTCCTTCCTCATAGAATCAGAGAATCTCCTTAATGGAAAGGGATCCACAGGGATCATCCATCCAGCCCTGGCCCTGCCCAGACCCCCCAAAATCCCACCCTGGGCATCCCTGGAGCAGTGTCCCAATGCTCCTGGAGCTCTGGCAGCCTCGGGGCCGTGCCCATTCCCTGGGCAGCCTGGGCAGTGCCCAGCACCCTCTGGGGAAGAACCTTTCCTGATCTCAGCCTGACCTGCCCTGGCAGAGCTCCAGACATTCCCTGGGTGCTGTCCCTGGGTCACCAGAGTGAATCCTCCTGGGGAATTGTCCTTTTTGGAACGAAAATTATTGATTTATTGGCCAAAAAAATCTCTCACGTAGAAATGAAGCCATTCTAATTTTGGGCTCTGCACGACAAGAGAGACCTGGAGCAACTGGAGCGTGCCCGGGGAAGGGATTGGAGCTGAGAAGAGGCTGGAGAATTCCTGAGGGAGCTGGGAAGGGGCTGGAGAATTGCTGAGGGAGCTGGGAAGGGGCTGGAGAATTGCTGAGGAGCTGGGAAGGGGCTGGAGAATTGCTGAGGAGCTGGGAAGGGACTGGAGAATTGCTGAGGAGCTGGGAAGGGGCTCAGCCTGGAGCACAGGAGGCTCAGGGGGACTCTGAGCTCTGCCTGGAGCCTTCCTTTCTCCAGGTGAACATTCCCAGCTCTCCCAGCCTGGCCCCAGCTCCCTGATGTCCCCTGGGCTCTCTCCAGCAGCTCCAGATCCTTTTCCTGAGGACTCCAGAGCTGGATTGGAGCGTGCCCTGTCCTGGAGTGGAGCCCCCGTGGGCTGTGTGTCTTGTCCCGTGTCCCTGTGCCCCAGCTCATCCGTGGATTCCCATCAGTGGGACCCTGGGATGGTTCCCAAATCCCCGGATTTGGCTCCTCTGGAATTCCTGGTGTTCCAGTCTGGAGGGTTGTCACCAAGAACCTGGCTCGTGTCCTGCTTTGGCACCAAAACCCACCAAGATCCAAACCCTCATGTCCCAAATTAACCCTTGTATCCTGAATTAACTCTCCTATCCCAAGTTAACCCTTGTATCCTGAATTAACCCTCCTCTCCCAAATTAACTCTCGTATCCCAAATTAACCCTTATATCCCAAATTAACCCTTATATCCCAAATTAACCCTCGTATCCTGAATTAACTCTCCTATCCCAAGTTAACCCTTGTATCCTGAATTAACCCTCCTATCCCAAATTAACTCTCACATCCCAAATTAACCCTTGTATCCTGAATTAACTCTTGTATCCCAAATTAACCCTCCTCTCCCAAATTCACCTTCATATCCCAAATTAACCCTCGCATCCCAAATTAACTTTCATATCCCAAATTAACCCTCCTCTCCCAAATTATCCAAACCCAGAGCAAGGCTTCCCTGAACTCTGAGCCATCCCGGTGCTGGTGGCAGCCAGGGCTGCAGGTTTCCGTGGCAGACCCGCCTTGCAGGGGTTAAATGTGCTGCAGGGATCGTTTAACCCCACTGGCAGGAGGGCTCTGGGTGTTTCCAGCTCTGGGAACGTGCCTGCTGCAGGATTTGGGAATGAGATTGGGAGGTTGATGTTGTGTGGACTGGGAAATTTGGGGATAAGATGAATAAATCCTTTGTTCTGGAAATCAAGAGGAATAAAAAGCAGGATTGGGCTGGAGGGGGTGGCAGGGGAGCCATCAGTCCTGGCCTGGGGCAGCCTGAGCTCCCGTGGCATCCGCACGTCCCAAAAATCAGGGATTTATGGATTGTTGGGAGCGCTGGCAGTGCAGCTCTGCCTCAGGAAGTGCAGGCACTGCTTGGTGCTAAGTGCAGTGAATTTTTAGATGTGTCTGAGTATTGAAATAGCAGATAAACACCTGAACTTGTGAACGTGAGACAGGGTCATTGTGTGATGTGTTAATCCAGGCAGAGGGAGAATTTCATGGAATCATGGAATGGCTTGGGATGGAAGGGACCTTAAAAATCATCAATTCTACCCCTGCCGTGGGCAAGGACACCTCCCACTGTCCCAGGTGGATCCAGCCTGGCCTTGGACACTCCCAGAGATCCAGGGGCAGCCACCTCAAATCTGGGAATTCCAGCCCAGCTCTCCCCACCCTTCCAGGCAGGAATTCCTTCCCAAGAAGGAATTTTTTCACTCCACTTCCACGTCAGAGAGGAGTTTTTCCCACAAAATCCCATCCCATTGCAGCCCTGCCGTGGCCTGGGACACTTCCACCATCCCAGGTTACTCCAAGAGCAGCTCCAGAGGCAGTGCCTGAGGGTGCAGGTGTGGGAATCCCATCCTGGATCACCTCAGGGTCCCCCATTAGGATCCTTCCCATCCCAAACCAGTCTGGGATCCTGGGATCCCTCATTTCAGCTCCAGCCAGGAAACTCTGCAGTGCTGAGATCTGATTTTCCTTGCATGGAGGCGATTCTTTCACTCCAGTTCCACATCAGAGAGGAGTTTATCCCACAAAATCCTGAGGGTGCAGATGTGGGAATCCCATCCTGCAGCACTGGGATCACCCCAGCATGGGCTTTAAGGACCTTCCCACCCCAAACCAGTCTGGGATCCTGGGATCCCCATTCCAGCTCCAGCCAGGCCCCTCTGCAGCCCCCAGGACTGATTTCCCTCACACCCTGCGACCTTTTAACAGCTGCATTTCCATCCCACAGAGGAGCTTATCCCATAAAATCCCATCCCACTGCAGCCCTGCCATGGCCAGGGACACTTCCACCATCCCAGGCTGCTCCCAGAGCAGCTCCAGAGGCAGTGCCTGAGGGTGCAGGTGTGGGAATCCCATCCTGCAGCACTGGGATCACCCCAGGATGGGCTTTAAGGACCTTCCCACCCCAAACCAGTCTGGGATCCTGGGATCCCCCATTCCAGCTCCAGCCAGGACTGGTTTCCCTCACACCCTGCAATCCTTTACCAGCTCCATTTCCACCTCACAGAGGAGTTTCTCCCAATCCCATTTTTCCGTCCCCATCCCTGCTGAGGAGTCTCCAGGACCCTGCCCGGGGTTGGGAATCCTCCCTGAGCCCCGAGCTGCCCTTTCCTCACCCCAGCTCCCTGCCAGCCTCATGAAAATCCGGGAAAACAACACCATTGCCAGGGCTGTCCATGGGGCCTTTCATCCTTTTCCCTTTTCCCTGCCCCTTTCATCCCTGCCCCTTTTCCCGGGATTTGGGGTGCCAGAGCTTTCAGCCCGAGCCAAGGAGTGCCAAGGGAACATCTCCAAAGGACACAAAATGCAAATTCCCCCCAGGGACAGGGACAGGGACAGGGACAGGGACAGGGACAGGGACAGGGACAGGGACAGGGACAGGGACATTCCCACCATTCCAGGCTGCTCCCAGAGCAGCTCCAGAGGCAGGAGCTGGAGGTGCAGATGTGGGAATTCCATCCTGGATCACCTCAGGATGGGCTTTAATGTTAACAACCTTTCATCCCTGCCCCTTTCCCTTCTTTCATCCCTGCCCCTTTCCCTGCCCCTTTCATCCCTGCCCCTTTTCCCTTCTTTCATCCCTGCCCCTTTTCCCTTCTTTCATCCCTGTCCCTTTTCCCGGGATTTGGGATGCCGGAGCTTTCAGCCCGAGCCAAGGAGTGCCAAGGGAACATCTCCAAAGGACACAAAATGCAAATTCCCCCTCTGATCCCACCCAGCCCAAATTCCCTTCCTCACCCCCATCCTGGATCCTCCCTGCTGCCTCTTCCCGAGGGGGAAAAACCGGGAAAAATCAAACCCAAATGGAGCTTTCAAGCAAATGGGACGTGAAACCCAAAGAATGGCTTGGGTTTTTTGCCCGGATTTTGCCTTTTTCCCCACTTTTTGTTGCGGAAGGAGAGCAGGGCTGGTGCCAGGATCCCTTGGATTCTGTGCCTGGAATGAGTCCGAGCGTTCCGTGGGGTTTCAGTGGAGCAAAGCCAACACGAGAGGGCATTTTGCTGCTTCCAAACCCTGAAAAATCAGAATATTTCGGGAGATCCCAGGAATTAAATGGATTTTTCCATACCTGGAATCTTGGCTTTGCCCTGGAGCCACTGGTGTTGGAGCTGCTCTCACCTATAAATGATATTTTGGAGCGATAAACTTATTTAAATATGATTTTTTTTAGAATTATATTCACCTAAAAGTGATTTTATTAGAGTGGAATTTAGTTGTATTTGAATTTTTTAGAGCTAAACTCACCTAAAAGTGATTTTTTTTTGAGTTACACTTGTATAGATGTGATTTTTTTTGTAGTTTCGTTTGCTTAAATGTGATTTTTGGGAGTGGAATTTCTTTATATTTGAATTTTTTAGAGTTGCACTCACCTAAAATTTGCAGTGACACTTCTTTAATATCAGCATTTTTTAGATCTACACTCACCTAAAAGTGATTTTTTTTTTGAGTTACCCTGATGTAGATGTGATTTTTTTTACAGTTTTATTCATCTAAATTTAATTTATTAGAGTGGTGTTAATTTATGAGATTTTTTAGAGTTGAACTCATTTAAATGTGATTTTTTTTCGAGTGGAATTTAGTTATAATTGAATTTTTAAGAGTTATATTCACCTAAATGTGATTTTTTTCGAGTGGAATTTATTTAAATTGGAATTTTTTAGATCTTCACTCACCTAAAAGTGATTTTTTTGGAGTTAACACTGATTTAATGTGATTTTTTTAGCACTTCATTTTCCTAAATGTGATTTTTTTTTAACGTGGGATTTATTTAATTTTATTTTTTTAGAGCTGCACTCACCTAAAAATGGCATTTTGGAGTGACTCTGATTTATATAATTCTTGATAAAAGATTTTGATAATTTATGATAAATCAAATATGATTTATAGAATTTTTTTTTCATTTCATTTACCCAAATGTGATTTTTTTAGAGTGACTTTCATTTATATTTGATTTTTTGGAGAAGATTTCACTTCTCTCCATGTGATATTTTAGTGTTTCACTTGCCCATATTTAAATTTTTTTAGTGTTTTCACTTGCCCATATTTAATTTTTTTAGTGTTTCACTTGCCCATATTTAATTTTTTTTCAGTTCTCCTTATTTATCCATGGAATTTTCATGAGCTACACTCACCTGGATGGGAATTTTTGGACTGACGCTCATTTAAATTTAATTTTTTTAGAGCTACAATCCCCTAAATATGATTTTTTTTGAGTGACCTTTAATTTATATTTGTTTTTTTTTTTATTATTTCACTTGTCTCTCTGTGATATTTTAGAATTCCACTCACCCATATTTAAATTTTTTGCCATTCTACTTATTTATAAATGAAATTTTTATGACTTGCACTCACCTAGATGGGATTTTTTAGAGTGAGATTTATTTAAATTTCATTTTTTCATAGTTTAGTTCACCTAAATGTGATTTCTTGGAGCGACAAACTTATTTAAATGTGATTTTTTTTAGGATTTTACTTGTCTCTCTTTGATATTTTAGAATTCCACTCATCCATATTTAAATTTTTTGCACTTCTGCTTATTTATAAATAAAATTTTTATGACTTGCACTCACCTAGATGGGATTTTTTAGAGTGAACTTACAGAAATTTGATTTCTTTTTAAATTTCATTCACCTAAATGTGATTTTTTTGAGTGATAAACTTATTTAAATGTGATTTTTTTACATTTTATTTGTCTCTCTTTGATATTTTAAAATTCCACTCACCCATATTTAAATTTTTTGCACTTCTGCTTATTTATAAATAAAATTTTTATGACTTGCACTCACCTAGATGGGTTTTTTTAGAGTGAACTTACAGAAATTTGATTTTTTATAGTTTTATCCACCAAAATGTGATTTTTTTGAGTGACAAACTTATTTAAATGTGATTTTTTTTAGTATTTCACACGTCTCTCTTTGATATTTTAGAGTTCCATGTATCCGTATTTAAATTTCTCCCAGTTTTACTCCCCATCCATGGATTTTTGGTGAGATTCCCGGCTTTTTCATGGATTTTCTCCCTGCTTTAGGTGCCTGGAGCCCAGGATTTGGTGGATTTCTCCCCGGTCTACCGATGCCTCCACATCTACTCCGTCCTGGTGAGTGAATCCGGGATTTTCCTGCTCTGGGGAATTCCACGGAGCTGCCCCTCCCTCCTTCATCCTTGGATCCCTGAGGGAGGAAAAAATCCCCGAGGGATGGATGGATTTGGGGAAAATCTGTGGAATTCCTTCGAGCAGGGCACGGAAACGCAAAGGAATTTTCTCCTGCTGTCCCAAATCTGGAATTTTTCATGTGTTTATATTTCGTAGTTGTTGGGCTTTCCTCCAAGAATTCCTCTTTGGATCCAGTAATTCCATTATTCCTTGGAAATGGAGGAGTTTTGGGCAGGGATTGGTTGGATTCTGACATTGTTTTCTCCAAGAATTCCTCTTTGGATGCAGGAATTCTGTTTTTCCATGGGAATGGAAGAATTTTGGGCAGGGATTGGTTGGATTCTGATGCTGTTTGCTCCAAGAATTCCTCTTTGGATCCAGTAATTCCATTATTCCTTGGAAATGGAGGAATTTTGGGTTGAAATTGGTCGTAGTCTGGTGCTGTTTGCTCCAAGAATTCCTCTTTGGATCCATTAACTTCATTATTCCATTGAAATAGAGTTTTGGGCAAGGATTGGTTGGATTCTGACATTGTTTTCTCCAAGAATTCCTCTTTGGGTGCAGGAATTTCGTTATTCCATGGGAATGGAGGAGTTTTGGGCAGAAATTGGTTGGATTCTGATGCTGTTTGACTCCAGGGAAAGTGAATTACTCTGTGGGAATGGGAGAATTTTGGGGCTGGAATTGGTTGGATTCTGATGCTGTTTGCTCCAGGAATTCTTTGGGTTCATTAACTTAATTATTCCATTGAAATGGGAGAACTTTGGGCAGGAATTGGTTGGATTCTGATACAATTTTCTCCGAGAATTCTTTGGATTTGTTAACTTCATTATTCCTTGGTAATGGAGGAATTTTGGGGAGGAATTGGTTGGATTCTGATGCTGTTTGTGCCAAGAATTCCTCTTTGGATGCAGGAATTTTGTTTTTCCATGGGAACGGAGGAATTTTGGGGAGGAATTGGTTGGATTCTGATGCTGTTTCCTCCAAGAATTCCTCTTTGGATGCAGCAATTTTGTTGTTCTGTGGGAATGGGAGAGTTTTGGGCAGGAATTGGTTGGATTCTCTGATACCATTTTCTCCAAGGATTCTTTGCATTCAGTAACTTTGTTATTCCATACAAATGGAGGAGTTTGGGGGCAGAAATTGTTTGGATTCTGATGCTGTTTTCTCCAGGAATACTTTTTTTTGGATGCAGCAATTTTGTTATTCCCTGAAAAATGGGAGAGTTTTGGGCAGGAATTGGTCAGATTCCGATGCTGTTTTCTCCAAGAATTCTTCTTTGGCCACAGTAATTTCACCATTCCATGGAAAAGGAGGAGTTTTGGGCAAGAATTCCTCAGAAATGGATCATTTTCTGCACCTTGGAGACCTTCACTGCCCTGCCAGCTCTGTCTGACAGGAGCAGCTTTGCTGCCATCCCCAAATCCACCCTTCCCCGGATCACTCTGAGATTCCTGAGGGAAAAAATCCCACAGATTGTGCCAGGAGTTTGTTTTTTGACTGGAAATGGTTCCTTGGAGCTGTCCAAGGGAGCTCCTCTTTCCACAGGCTGGCTCCTGGGAATTCTGACTGCAGTGATTTTTTTCAAATATTAATTTATAAGGAAGGCAGATAATGAACCTTTGGAGCTCATCCTCCAACTTTGAATTGGGAATTTTTGGGATGCTTCCAGCAGCATCCAAGCCTTAAATCTCCTGATCTAAGGAACCTGTGGAGTCTCATCCCTTTTCCTGGGCCTTTGGAGCTCATCCCCCTCTGAATTTCGGGAAGCATCCAAGCCTTGAATCTCCTGACCCACAGAGCCTGAGGAGCCTCATCCCTTTTTAGGGACCTTTGGAACTCATGCTCCAACTCTGGGTTTCAGGGATGCTTCCAGCAGCATCCAGGCCTTGATTTTGCCATTCCAAGGAACCTGGATCCCTTTTCCAGTGCCTTGGGAGCTCACCCTCCAAATTTGAATTTTTGGGATGCATCTGAGCCTTGAATTTCCAGATTCAAAGAAGCTGTGGAGCCTCATCCCTTTTTAGGGACATTTGGAGTTCACCATCCAACTTTGAATTCCAAGGATGTTTCCAGCAGCATCCAAGCCCTGAATCTGCCATTCCAAGGAACTTGTGGAGTCTCATCCCTTTTCCTGGTCCTTTGGAGCTCACCCTTCAACTCAACTTTGAATTTCAAGGATGCATCTGAGCCTTGAATTTCCTGATCCAAGGAACTTGTGGAGTTTCATCTCTTTTTAGGGGCATTTGGAGCCCACCCTCCGACCTTCCAGGAGCTTCCAGGAGCATCCAGGCCCTGCATCTGCCATTCCAGGGAACCTGCATCCCTTTTCCAGGGCCGTTGGAGCCCAGGAGCTGTCGTGGAGCTCTTACCCTGTGGCTGGGCAGCCAAATCCCAGGCAGGAGATGAAAGGAGCTCTGTGTTGCCAGCTTTCCTCCCCTCCCAGCCTGGAGAGGGAATTGTTTCCCGGTTCCCGGCGTCTCCAGCGATCCACACGGGTTTGCTGAAGGAAAAGAACTGTCAGAAGCCCCGTTCCTATAAAACATCTTTTTGTGCCCCTCATCTGTTCATAATTAGGTCATTTGGCCACGTTGCCGTGAGATTTTCATGGAATGAGAAGCTCCCCTCCCCAAAATGTGTGGCTGTGTTTATCTTGGAGGAATATCCCAGCGCTCCAGGCGGAGCTGGGAGGAGCAGGAGTTTGTTAATTGGGAATTAGGAGGGAGCTGAAAGGCTGTGGGGAGGGCTGAAAGTGCCACTTTATTTGGGAAAGCTTCAGGGAGGAATGGGGATCATGGAGATGGGTTAGGAATCCTGTTGGAGGGGCTGCCAGGCCTTGGTTTGACACAAGAGTGTGATATGGATTTGATACGGGTTTAATATGGGTTTATTATGGATTTAATTTGGATTTAATATGGATTTAATTTGGATTTATTATGCATTTGCTGGTGTGATTGTCCACGAAGGTGTTCTGAGGAGGGTCAGCAACTTCTGCTGGTGGATGGGGCAGTTTTGACCATTCCAAGTGGTTGCATTCCATGGATTTCAAGGCAAAGAATGGAATTGCTTTGCTTCACATAACAGAAATGGGTTTGTCTCTGCATTGAGGATTTTGTTGTCTTTCTAATCAGAAATAGGGATTGATCCTCAGAAATGTGTCGGGGGAAGCAGCAGATCCCTGGGATGGACCTGGGTGGGATTGTCTCCTTCTGGAAGTGGGAATGGTGCAGGGGCCTGGGTGGTGGTGTCCCTGCAAGGGACAGGGGGGAACATGGGATGGGATGAGAGGAAACAGCCAGGTGAGGTTTAGGTCGGGTACTGGGACAATTCCTTTGTGGAAAGGGTTTTCCAGCAGTCCCCATCCTGCAGGGACGTGGCCCTTGTGATGCCCTGTGAGGGCTGAGCTAGAACAGAGGCTGGACAGAGTTCCAGAATAAAGCAGGGATTTATTAAATCTGCCAATGGATGCACCTTGGGCAGCACAAGAGCCCAGCCAGGGCTGCAGCCAAGGTGAACCCAAATGGTCCCAAAATGCACCCAAGATGAACCCAAATGGCCCCAAAATGCACGATGGTCACGGGGTCTCTCCCTGGGATCAGCTCTGCTCCACGTGCACATTGCAGTTCAGTGTCCAATTCCAGCTCAGCCCCTGCACTCCCATCCTTGTTTTTCTCTCTCCAGCCCACCACGGGGTTTGTGCTCTTGGGGCTGAGATTTGGATCCCAGCCCCTGCTCCCATTCCTTTCCCTGCTCCCATTCCTTTCCCTGCTCCCATTCCAGCCCCTGCTCCCATTCCTGTCCCTTCTCCCATTCCAGCCCCTGCTCCCATTCCTTTCCCTGCTCCCATTCCTTTCCCTGCTCCCATTCCAGCCCCTGCTCCCATTCCTGTCCCAGCTCCCATTCCTTTCCCAGCTCCCATTCCTGTCCCTGCTCCCATTCCTCGTGTTCATCCCCAGCTCAGACCCTGCAAACAGGAACGAGAGCTAACAAGGAGCAGAAATCGGAGCACAGCTCCAGGGAAGGTGTTTTAGGGAGCCAGGAGCAGGATTAAAAAGCCCCTGAGCAGCAAGCTGCCCTTTTGCTGACCTGAGCCTGAATCCTGGCCTGGCTTTCCAGGCCCAGCTCGGGTGGAGCAGTGTCAGAGATCCTGCACGGCATCGAGGGAACGGCCCCGGCAGTGTCAGACGGAAGGATCATAATGTAATAGTTCCCCAAAACTCCCAATATTTGTCATTTACAATGGCGTTATCTCAGAGCTTGGCCTGCAGTTAAAAAGGCCCACGTTGAATAAACATTGAGATATTTATTATTTTTAGTGAAATCGACCTTCCAGTCACCTCGGTTTTATGGCTGCGCTGCTTATAAATTCCCAAAGGATTATTTGCAAACTCCTGCTCCTATCTGGCAGCCTTATCAGCAGGGCAGGAGTTCACATATTGTACCGGGGGGTCAGCCCGCGGTCATGGGCTTCCAGAGGGGGCCAGGCACCTGTAAATCCTGCAAATCCTTCCCTCGGCAACCAAGGCGAAGGACAACATCCAACAGGCACGGAGACTTTTCCAGGAAACGCTGAACTTTGGCAGGAAGGGCAGAGCAGGGGGAAAGAAAGTGAAGGAAGGTCAGGCGGGGGTTAATTGAGAGCTGGACCTTGGCGTGGTGGCGGCTGCGGGGCAGGACAGGCTCTCCTGGGATGTTTTATGGGATTGTTCATCCCAATTCCTTTCCTGGGGAGGAAGGGGCTGCCTGAGGGAGAAACTGGAGTGAGGAGTGTTTGATATCAAACAAAACATCCCAAAACCTTCAGGGTGCCTCCATCCCAAACCAGTCTGGGAATCTGTGAATGGTTTAAGGAGGGCACTGGCAGCAAGTCTAAGGCGTGAGAATTTTGGGGTCATTTGGGCAAGGCCTGGCCTGGTTTGAGCTGACCCTGAGCCCTAAGCCCA